AATAGTATGAGCATTTATTTAGGAGGACACTTTGTATAAGTCGCATACCCTGGGACCTATGTCTGAGCACGCCTATGTCTTTAATACCATGGGTATTAATTAATTTAAGTTAATTATTTTTGTTATAGGTATGGTTTCAGAACCGCAGAGCTAAGTGGCGCAAACACGCACGGCTTCAAATAATTCAAGATGCGTGGAGAATTCGCTGCATGGGTTTGAATACACAATCGCTTTTATTGGGTAAGTTAATTTTTGAAAAACTTAACAATTATAAGCTAATTTTGTTCAATGAGCAAAATTGTTTCTCAGGTCGTCAAGCACCAGAGGGAACAACTCGTTTGGCGGACGATAAAGAATCTCCGCCAACGCCTCCAACCCAATCAACTGTAGTCTCGTCACCCACCCATGTACCGGGAAGTTACCGAATGCTTCAAAAGTATGGTTATAACTTATAAATCAGCCAAGAATAAATAATTTGAAAATATATTAACACGAGCATTTTTAGTTTTCAAGTAACAGAAAGACCACCATTAGTTGGACCTCCGACAAATACAGTTACCACCAAATTGTTCTGCCCGTATTCTTCTAATGGTAAGATTGTTGATTAAATAATTTACTATGCCTAATTGAATAATAAAAATATATATATATGGTAAAGAACGTAATAAAACTGCGTTTCTAAAACTTAAAAATTAAAACATAATAATTAATTTTTTTTTTTTTTAATTGTTCAAACTAATTGTAATTACAAAGTTTAAATAAAAAAAAAAATTTATTTTGTCTAATACATCTTTAGTACAACTTCGAATTAATGTTGGTTATAGTTCAACAACTGCAATATGACACTTGATAATGCACCCACTTGATCAATTATTAATAGCTTTTAATCTGAACACACAAGAACTATACAATACTACTATGCTAATATTACAATTTATTATAGTGCTATACAATCATTATCTATCAATATGTATCAATTTTACAGCGTATAGTAATATGTATTTACATACAACTACTGATGATATAATTTTATTTTATACGCTATAAAGTTAATAGCTACTAAATCATTTAAATCCGCATTCTTTTTAAGAAATATTATACCTTGATTATAACCAACCTAAATAGATATTATTATAAACTAAAGCCTATAAGTGTATACTCATAATACACTTATTGTCCTCTGTTTATTATTTTTTTTTTTTAAATGGCGATAAAATAAGATACCTATGTCTAGCATTACTATATATATTTATTTATTTTATATTGTACTTTTTTAGAAAATGAAATTTCAAATAGACGTTCAGCTCATCACCAGGACACTAGGTCGGACATGAACGGAAACCTATCTTTGATGGTAGGCTCTGTGGATTTAACATGCTCAAAATCTCGGTCTACCAGTCCCGAAGAGGAAAACGACATAAATGTAAATGATTAAATACGTTTTAATCAGACTAAATAGTTAAGAACGACAAAATGCAATTTACTTTAAATTTAAGTTCTAGTTAAAAATATTATGTACAATTTAAATAATAATAATTTCTAATAAGTAATTAATTATATACTTAAAAAATATAAATTATTCATAGTATTTCACTCTTTATTATCATAAATTATTATACTTAAAATGTAAATGTATATGTTATAAATACATATTAAACAAATAAGTGAGTTATGTTTAGACAAAATCATTCACTTACTTATATAAGTATATATATATAATATATATATATATATATATATGTATGTATTATATAAGTAATCCTTTTAAATTGTAATATTATCTTAATATATTTTTATTTATATAGGTAATGGTTTTTACAAAAGAGACTTAATTAATAATATGTTTTATGCAAATTACTTGTGCACCTGCAATATCAGAATTGATAAATATTATTTGTTTCTTTTTATTTTTACGAATAAATGTAAATATCTCTTAACTCTATTAACTAGTGAGTCTACTCCTATTATAACTTAAATATTGTAAACAATGACTGATCATAAAATCATAAGATACAGTTCATTATAATCTACTGCTTATGATTCGTTATTATAATATTCATTTTCATCAATTTTATATACTATTATAGACGAATCGTTATACTACAATAATGTAATAGATAATTGGTATTTAGTAATTAAACTTTAAATGGGTATCCAAAAATCATGTAAGAAGATATATAGTTACTTACTTAATAAACTTTTATTTTACATCTAAAATACAGATGTACGTCATCTGAATTAGATTCAAAGTAATTGTAATTACTTATTTGTTTGTAAAATATAAACAAAAAATTATACTTGCACAAAGAAATGTATTCTAAGCTATATAATATCTACATTCTACAACTTAGCTACCTATATATTATTGTAATCATTAATCACGATTCGCGGTACCCGGTCACCCGGACGTTTTCCCGAAAAACGTTTCTCAAAAACAATAATCCAAAATTTGTCTTTATATAAAAATATTTCGTTATTATAATTTATAGACGTCTAGGTATACACAAAAATGTAGCTGATAGCCGATAGGTACCTACGTAATATTTATATTACCTACCTACTTTAGTTATTTGTTATACTTGTTACATCGTTTTTGTTAAATGTTTGAAAAAACATGATTTAAATTTAGTAAAACTCAAGTAGGACATGCTTTTGTTTGCTAAAGTCTAGTCGATTAATTATTGTTATCTACTCATAGGTGTCATTACGGAGTAGCGTGGTCCAATATTCACATGACAAGTGTAGGAAATAAAATCAAATAAACTAGGTATGTAATTTAAACATTACAATGTAGGTATCCACTATTCTATACACTTACTTTTTCAAAAATTATTTAAATTTCTTAACCGACGACGCCGCTGGTATGCTTTTACAGTAGTCTTCCGTGATGGGAATTACTCGTTTGAGTCAAAAAAAATTAATTCGTTTTAGCAGTTTTGGGTACAGATCATTTGCACCAAAATTACCTTCGTTAACATTTTACAATATTTTTTTATAAATATTTAAAGACGCAACATACGTTATAATTTATAATAAAGTTATGTTTGTAAGTCTATAGATTTTGAGGTTTTGTATATCATTGCCTAGACAGATTAAACAAATTTTAGAATTAATTATTATTTGAAAAAAAATATATTAGTTTATTATAGTTTATAAAAATATGTACTATTATCTATTATAACCTATAATTTAAAAAACGATTTGTAATACTGATTATTATTTTTTTTTAAATCGTATTAGATATTGCAATATGATTTGAAAAAAAAATTTGTAACTATGATAATGTTAAAAATAAATAATTATTATCATGCAAAATTTAATACACTGGTTTATTTTGATTGATATTTTTTATTTTATTAAATTCAAATTTTAACATTTGTCGTGTCTTTAAAATATATGAATTAAACTAAGTCTTAATTGTAAAATGTTTAAGGAAGCAAAGAACGAACATACCTTCTTTTTAGCTACGCATAAAACGAATTAATGTTTTTAGTGAAAATGAGTGGTATTCACTAGTATTGACCTATACTATACACCAGAAGTGCCCAACCTACGGCCCACAGAAGTATAATTATTCCACCCGACCCGTGAACATTTTGGCATTTTATAAAAGTAAACATTCCTGCAGATATACAAAAAAAAATTTTAGTACATTTTTGTTTTCGTGGAATTGTTTTTTTGAGAAAATTAATTCTCTATTTTGGTTTTCGTGAATCTATCTTTCGAGAAAACTGTCATCTAGGAATACATATTGAAGAAAACGTTTTCGAATACGTTTTCATAATCTAATCATCAATCGTCTTTGAATCAGACTATTGAATGGACTATATAGATCTTTTGAATACTAATTATCAATACATAATAGATAAGTCAGTAAATGTATTTTTGTAAAATGTAATTATATAGTGGATTTAATTATACATTTATAATTCAAGGGATTAAATTGGATAAATATGTGAATTTATTGTTGTTACTGGCACAATTCTTTATTAGTGTGTATAAAATAACGAACTATTGTATTAGATAATTTATTTCGATTGCGTTTAGAGGTTGAATGGATACCTGGCATAAATTAATTCAAACGCTTTACAAATAATTAATTTTCGTTTACATAATAAATATTACCTATACATCTGAGTAGGTACATAATTTGCATTTACTTTTACAACTGATGAAGTAACGTATATGTGTTTCACAACTTCTTATATCACTAATATTAAAATGTAAATATTAAATTCAGTTATAGAATATATAAATAAGCTAATGGTGGAAGTGCTGTAGGCTAAGAATTTTTTTTTTGTGGAAGGACACATTTTTTTCGTTTAGTTTTTGTAATGCTGGAATACCTACTTATCACCTATTACTTGATGCCCCGTCCATCATTGATGGGTAAGTCTACTATGTAGTAACTCATAATCAATATTTGTTAGTCACTTTAATTGCGTAAGAATTAAGTACTTAATTACTTTGGTATACTTACCTTTTAAATAAATCAAATTTCGAATTACATAACAATGAGTCAATGGTTTAAAAACAGTTCTTTTAAATGCATATGCACTAAAAGTATAACAGCTAAAAATATGTCGAATAATATTGTAATAATAACATTCCTGCAACTCTGTTGCCTGACACATAATTATTGATCAACGTGCGTCATTTCCATATTTACAAAGATGTTTTCATTGAATAAGCCGAAATAAATATTTCCATAACATCAGCTACTAAATACTACAAATAATTTTTTTGCTATACCCATAGTTCAATAATTCAGTGACAGAATAGAAACCTTAACTGAACGAACAAATGAACATTAGTTATTAGCTTATGATGTACCACCATTAGTCATATTGTAAAGTACACCACAATACCACATTCTCAAACAGCAATAATTTGTAATGATAGTACCTATTATGATAATATTAATTGTATACTATACGATAAATCGATACCTGTGGGCTACATGTAGAAGTGGGAGATAGATGGTTGTGGACAAATCACCTTCTAATGTATGATAACATACTGGTTCCAATCTGAAATCGTCTCACATTAAACCATGCACCTAGGTAGTATACCAGCTAGTATGAACAGAAGAAGAAGCCGGTTAATATAGTTTATGGAAAACGTACCATTAAACGTAAGTAAAATGGTAAAATATATATTCATTTATTTTATTATTATTTTTATTTTGTTCCTGTATCACTACAACAATAATTAAATAATTACTAAACAGTAAAATGTTGTGTTATTACTCTTTGAAAATTCTTATTAAATATATTAATCAAAACAATGAAGCTAAATTCTACATTACTTATTAAGAACTACTATTGTTTTTAAATTCTAATTGAAATATGATATTCTCCAAAAAGTAGATATTCATTGCTTATATAACTATCCTCGACAACCCAATACCTATATCCTATATCGATGACTTCTTATACATGTAAACAATGAGTTTATTATATTATGTTGATTTTTGAGTAGCACTGTAAATCGTTTTTAATATTTTATTTTTACTGGTTATAGTTCTATAAGATATAGGACTCAATACAGTTTCCGAGTGACGAGCACACAATTATTTTTATAAAATATTAAAATAATATTTTAGTTTTTAATTAAATAGCTTTCAACATTTTATCATTTTTAAAAATTGCAATATGCGAGTATTTACATTTACAAGGAATTCCATATGTCAATACTCATTTGCATCTACTGTTATTTTTAATATACAGATTTTTTATATTTAAATAGAATACAAAACATGGGAAGCTGTGCATATTATATTACATGTGCGCTACTTATATTTCACTTCATTGCCACTGATGAAGCTACAGCTGAAAACAATTTACCATTCATCAGGTAATTTAAAACTCAAAATACCTATTAATTACCTAACAACCATACATAAACTACTAGAAACAATAGTAATTACTAATTGGTAACAAATAGGTGGGTACCGACCTATATATAGGCATTATAATGGAACTTTGAATGAAGATAATCATAACGCTTTATACGTATGATCTTATACTTTAAAGACAAAATTTTAAACTATATTCAATAGTGAGAATTAATTACATCGGTAGGTCAAAATTTAGAATTCCTCATATTTTTCAAAAGCAACAGGAAAAACAAATAAAAAATTGAGGAAAAGCGGAAATTTTTACGGAAAAAAATGATTTTGGTTTTTAGTGTAACTCTTACAAAAATGACCGTAGGTAGATGAAATTTTCACTGAATATTTGTATACGCATTTTCTATACACCATAAAATTTTCAAAATATTTTGATTTGTGTTGAACTATTTATAGGCATATGAAATGTTCGATTATTATTTGCTTTTTTTAACTAGTCGATAAAAAATTTTTTGCTCGGTCAAAAAACCTGTATATGTAATACAAGATTCCTTGTTAGTTTGAAATTAAAAATAAATCAAACGTAAATCCACAGTAACTTTATATGAGAGTTTAAACTTAGAATTTTTACAAAATTCGTAAAAAAAACAAAAATTAGCGTTTTATATTTAGTTAGATATTCATAAAAAAATGTTCTATTTATATCTAAGATTTATAAATTTGATACAAGATTCCTTACAAGTTTGCCTACCTTAATATAAAAAAAAGTTTCTACCGGAAAGTCAAATAATTAAATTTTTATGAGAGTTTGAAGTTGGCATTTTTACAATATTGGATATTCACTTGATTTCTCTTGTAGCGATTTTCTTATTTTGTTGTAACTTGTAATTCAAAAACAAATTACTGTAGACACTTGAAATTTACAAAAAATGTTCATTTCATCAATTCATATACTTGATCACATTTTCAAAATATTTTCTGCTCGTGTTAAGCTGTTGCGGACATTTTCAATTTTCATTTTTTTATATAGCAATACTAATATCATATACATAGACACATAGTATTATGTACCTAGAGTACCTACTTATATATTTCTTTTTATTTAAAGCAAAATTTACAAATGCGTGGACAATAAGTGTATAATTAGCGAATTTCAAGACGAAAAGAAGGAAATCAATGAAGTCAATGAGTCAATGGACGTTTGCCGGTTAACCTGCGGGCAATATGGTTCACTATGGCCGAGGCCGACTAAAATGACTAGTATAAAGTAAAACTAAATTTCATATTACTAAAATGAACAAACAGTTAAATGTAAACAAATTAGTATTGTATTAATGTACTTATTTGAATAAACAATTTTAGAGATTCAGTTTTTAAATTTGGACTTGACAAAGTTGAGTTTAACTTAACGTCCGTGGCCGACGAATTAGGAAAACAATACATGGTTGAAGTATCTCAAGTTTTAATGTCATCGTTAAGAAAAATTTGCGAGCCACGATGTATTCCAAACGACAACAACCTGACTGTATTCATAACCACGGACACTCCTTTTACTAATATTAAGTTGTCGACGGACGAAAGTTATGAATTAAACATTTTCACCTATTGTAAGACGAGAATGTGTTATGTAATAATAATTGTTTCGGTTCTGATGATAACTCTCACAATGCAAAATATGTTTTTTTTTCTAGTGGACCAAATAACGGCAAATATTACAGCACAAACCGTGTATGGTGCTAGGAACGGGTTGGAAACATTACGACAGCTAATAACAGCGTACGGCAAGCCTAAATTTGACGGCAAGACACTGGTGATAGCTGGAGAGGTACAAATAGTCGATGAGCCAGTATACGCATATAGAGGATTCATGCTGGATACCTCGAGGAATTATTTCCCACTTTCGGCCATCAAAAGGACAATCGATGCTATGGGTCATTCCAAACTCAACGTATTCCATTGGCACGCCACCGACTCTCACAGTTTTCCATTAGATTTGCCTAGTGCTCCACAAATGGCTAGGTGAGACGTGATTATAATATTTTACAACTATATCTGTCGGCGTATAGCTATACCGAATGAATGTTGTATAATATACTATATTTTATTTATTGATGCTATAACTGTAAAGTTAATGAAATGGTATCGACGCGTATCGTGAAAGACGTATGTAGAACCCGAACAACATCATTGTAGGATATCATAATATTAAAATAGTTAAACACTAAAAATCCTTAACTCAATATTTAGATTAAAAAAAGGAACATGCGGGTAAAGAATGAAATAAGATTAATGTCCCTAAGTAAATTATTATTAACAGGTATAATAACAAATATTATTTCATACGCGCTTTTAAAATATTTAAAACATAACGGTACAACACTAGTCACAACTAAATCAATGGTAATACGATTTATTGTATTATTATTATTTATTTGTAAGCCCGATGGGGACAGTAATCTTAATATATTTATAGCAGAGTACAATAATTGAATACCAATACAATATATGAATAAATAAATTTAAAGATAATAAAGCAGTGATTTGGGGATTCAGCTGAGATCAAAAATCAACTTTATGTGTTATGAAAAATATATAAAGAGACAATTGCGTTGTGTATGTTATAGATATGGTGCATATAGTCCCGAAAAAATATACTCGTACGCAGAAATCAAAGATCTTCTGAGGTATGCATTAGTTAGAGGTGTTAGAATTATTATGGAAATCGATTCACCAGCGCACGCTGGGTATGGATGGCAATGGGGCAAAGATTCCGGTTACGGAGACATGGTGATTTGTCTGGGTAACCACCCATGGTGGGATTATTGTGTACAGCCTCCGTGTGGACAACTTAATCCATTAAACAATCATACATACACGTGGTTAGGAAAAATATACAAAGATTTGGTCAACGTATTTCCCGAAGGAGAAGCATTTCACATGGGTGGCGATGAGGTAATTTATTATATTTTTTACCATCATCAAATTCGTTTAATTAAATAAAAATAACTTACACTTAGATTTTAAAATCCGGCTCCTTACATAGGTTGCTGTTAGGTGTTGGAACACAACAGCCGAAATTGTTGATTGGATGAAGTCCAATAATCGAAGCTTAACTGAAAGCGCGTATATGGAATTATGGTCCGAATTCCATAATAAAGCATTAACTGTATACGACAACGAAGTAGGCAATTCAAATTCGGACATAATTGTTTGGTCTAGTGGATTGACTGATCCAAATATCATAGAAAAGCATCTCGACAAAAACCGATATACTATTGAAGTTTGGGAAGGAAACACAGATGCCGTAAATTTATTAAACTTGGGTTATAAAGTAATTGTGGCTGTAGAAGACGTCTATTATCTGGATCACGGATTGCGGCCACCGACCACTTACCATTCGTGGAAGGTTATTTACAACAACCAAATGCCGATAACCAATAACCCTAATCTCATTTTGGGGGCAGAAGTACGTAATAGCCAATAGTATTAAAATATAATTCATCTTTCATTAATGTATTAATTCGACCGATTTTTCTAGACCTGTATGTTTTCCGAATTCGCTGATGATTTTAATTTGGATGTTAAAGTTTGGCCAAGAGCTGCAGCTTTAGCCGAGAGATTATGGGCGGATCCGTCCACTAAAGCTTTGGAAGCCGAGTATAGGTAACGGATAATTTATAATTACGTTACAACCAAAATAACAAATAATACGAAACTATAATAATAAATATTTTTAACATTTTAGACTATTGCAACACCGCGAACGACTTGTATCACTGGGAATCGGCCCAGATAGAATAACTCCAGAATGGTGTAATGATCGAGAAGGCGAATGTATCATTAGTTATTGATAACTCAGAATATGTTTAAAAAAAATGACTAGAACAAGTACCTATTGAAATAATAAAATAGGCCTATTATTATGGTATTTTGAATTGCAACCGTAATTCATTGTAGTAGTTTAAAATATTTAATAATCATACGATTTAGGTGTATGCAATTCGCCAATACTTTACTATACACCTACATAGTACATTCTTGGCAATAAAGTTACAGTAGATCATATTTATTTTTTTAATATCAGACATTCCATGTTTTAAAGTATTTTAATATTATGATTTTTATACAAATAATGATAACAATTTAACAAGATGTGAATAGCGGAAAACCTCTCTAAAATATAAAAACACATTCCCCAGCGGTGAAATAAAAATCGGAGGGAGTAAATATTTCTTTTGCCGTTCAATGATTATAACTCAAACTATATATTTTTAACTTCCAATTTTCTAGATACTTGACATTTTTGTGTTTTTTCTGAGGTTTTCTTCCGATATTATTTGAATTTTAAAGATACGTTAGTTATGCGTTTGAAAGATATTACAGTGTAAAAATGATCATCAATCGTTTCAAAATTAAACTATTGAAAATATCCTCTGACTTCTGAGAGAGCACTTATAATGTTATCACCTTTAAATTGTATAATTTGTTAATTAACTCGAAACAAAATAACTGAAACTAAACGTAAGCTACCACAATTTCGATGGTAATCGATTAGAACTACAATTTAAAAAAACAAACAGCCAACAAAATGTGTCACATATTCAGATTTTAATAAATAATTTAATAATTTGATTGGATTAATCCTTAGATGATATACTATGATTCCCGACGTGTCTATCTCGGCCTTGTAAATAATTTGAAGCACACAATATGTGATTTTATATCCGGCTGAAATGCTTCATGTGCGCATGAATTAAGCGAACCGTCGCATATCTTACCTGTATGTAGGTGTTGGTCGCTGATTGATTTATATTTATATTGTATTAATTCACATAGATAAATATGCGATATTTCTCTTCTTGATTGACTGACGAATTCCATATTTTAATTTTTTATTCAGCTTCATGACGAAACCCGTTACACAGAAAAAATTTATTGGAAAGTAAAATTCATTTTTTATGAACATTTCAAATTGTACGACATTGGACATTCACCCATAAATTAACGATTTCTCATGTAATGATTTTCTTATTTTGTTGTTATTCAAAAAAATAACATTAGATACTTGAAATTTTCGACAAATGTTAATTTTATCATTTTCCATATTTGAGACAACTGTCAAAATATTTTGATTTTTTTTGAAATTTTCAATTTATTTTAGTTTTCTATAAATCACAATAAAAAGTTTTCACTATAGGTCAAAAAGCTTGAAAATGTAATGCGATATTCGTCATAAGTTGCTATAATAGTAATTCAATATTATTAAAGATACATATAACCATGATTTTTTTATAAGCTTTTAAAGTTTAAATTTCGACTTAATTCATAAAAATCACAAAAATTTGAAAACTATTTTATAGTTCCATATTTTTTTTATGTTGAATTCTTATAACTAGGGATTGGAACTCGAAAGCAAGATTTCTCAAAACTCATCATAAATGTTTCATAGTGTAGCCAAAAAATCTAAAAATTATAAAAACAGTCTTCTTTAATAAATATATTTTAAGTTCAAATTTGGAAATTAAATATTTAAACGGAGAATAATAATGGTTTTAGTATTTTTTGTTATTTAAAAATATACAGTCTCTGTCCAGAACCGTTTTTCGCATACAATTATTTTATATCATTGAGCATTGAGTTCAAATCTAACACAGTCATTTACAGTGACCCACATCCCACGACTCGCACGACGCTCAAAGCATAGCAAAGAGTTACTCACACACCCTCCTTTTTCCGGAACCTTTTAAAATCTACTGGAAATTCTTCACTTTTGCTATATCAAAGTACCAGATTCACTTTCTTACCGGAAAAAGATACCGAAATAGAAAATCGAGTAGTTTGTTTTACACACATTTCCTTAATAAATATATTGTGGTTAACTAATAATGTAGTTTATGTGTGTTCAAAAAAATATAATTTTTCAGTTATTTCAGTACATATTACCTAAAAATGCCCAAATTGTAGGATGTGTTACTTGAAAAGTAAGCCTTAATTTGTTGAGGAAAGACTCAATATTATTATCTGTCCTAAAAACTTTTTTATACACAGAAAGTACTTCAGCTCCTACATTTCTTAACCAATATCTACATAACAAATGAAAAATGAATTACATTTATTTGTTTAATGAAAATAGAATATTTTTATATTTATATTGTCTAAATCTATCTACTAAATAATGTATAGTAAGATAAGCATCAATCAAGTAATCTAATATTGAATTTGCAAATTTAGTATAGAAAACTCCTTCAACACTTAATGTTTAAGTATAATAACACTGTTCAATATTTAACTTTAAAATCCATCAAATAATAAATACAGTTTCAATATTATTAATAATTCTATCTGTCCAGCTCGGCGTTGCCCATGCCAAGGATTTACGGACTACGGTCGCCTGTTTAAAATACCAACTTCATATGAAATCAACTTTGTTTAATTCGTTATTTAATATTCAGTGTAATATAGGTAGTGATCAAAACATAAAAAATGTAATAGATCATCTTGAAAGATTTCTTAGAACAGTTAGAACACATTTACATCATGGTACGAAGGTACCGCGAAAATAACAAGGCTCGACCTATCATTATTTAGGCTCTACGTTGATCAGTTATCATATACGTTCAATATCATACTATAATTACATTATAGCCATCCCGCTTAGCATTCCTGGCGAGACACGCTTGTGATTATGTGAGCAGTATATTTATGGATTAGAAATCCACCCCGTGATAGGTGCGTACGTAATTACGAATGTTTTATTAACATGTTGGGTGCCACGGTGTTAATCACTTAATCATTTGATCATGGTAATAACTAATAAGTATTCTGTTAAGAATACAAAGAAAATTATGATGAATGTTTCAAATCACTTTTGAAACACTGCGTAATTGACATTGAAGCTGATGACTTTTCGGCTTTGGGAGAATTTACATTACAGAAAGAACAAATAAAAACAAAACCCACAAAATATGTTGAAACTGGTTTAGCTGAATGTAATGCAAACCATATATAGGTACTTCAATATAAGATTTTTCATTATTTTAGCTTCTTTGCCAGTTACTATTGTCTATTTACACTCGTGAAAGATTATTTTCGACGCTTAGACGGTTGAAAACGTATCCGGCGAATAAATACTATAAATGAAAATCGACGTAACGGGTTAACATTATTGAACATTCACCGTGACATAGAAGTGACTGTTGAGGAAGTTATAGAAAATATGGCTAGAAAGAATCGCCGAATAACATTGATATAAATACTATTGTTAATATTTGCATAACAAAATTTTTTTTGAAAAAGTAAAACAATTTATTTTAAATAAATATTTAGAAGTTAAAAGCATATTATAATTTATTAAGACAATTTATGACCACATTGTGGGGAGTGTGAAATCCTTCACAAGTTACATTTTATAGCAGAAAAAACAACCCCTAAGAAAATCTTGCCTACGCCACTGCTTGACTATTTGAGTATTTTTCAAAAAAAAATATCTCTATTTTATATAAGATAACATATAATTATAAGTTTCATATGTTTAAAATTATATTCAAATAATTAACATAGGTAATGAATGAGGTTTATTTGATAATATTAAATCCAGTTTTGCACGTTCCAGAATTGTACCGTCCAATTTGAAACGTCCAGGTTTTTAATTTCCAGGTTTATACGTGGACCGACCCAATTGTGATATACTTACAATAGTATTAGTATACTAGTAACTTATTTTGTAGACAAAAATATTAATTTCCTTATACATGAAATAGATTACAATTACATGTATTTACATATTTTAATTTTGGCAGATTCACGTTAAAAGAATTGTAGAGCCTATCTACTGGGTACCTACTGCACTGGTATAAATATATGTACAATTTTTATTTTCAACATCATTATTTGTTTTGTTTCTCAACATTTGTTTTCATATTCAGTCAAATCTTGTGATGAACTTAAGTTAACTATGTACTTCTTGTACAAATATCCAAAGATAAATTTTAGTAGAAGACTGGTAAGAAAGTATAGTTCTAATCAATTTTTGTAATAAATTGTGGTATCATATTAACTATTTTCATAATCAGTTAGGCATCGATGATAAATTTACTACAACTTTGCAATAAGTATGGAATCTAATGGATTTGGTAAGAACTTCATGATATTAAAAATTTGACTTAAAATTTTTTAAGATATTAAAGTTTATGTTTTAAAAAAAAATTAATTAACTATAGAATTTTTTATTTTTATTTTTTGAGCACCTATGTAACGAATTATGGAGTTTCGATTTTTAATTGTATTAATTGTATTTGTGCTTTTGCATTTTAAAAAACTCACCTGATACAAACCAACTTTTTTCTATTCAATACTATAATTTTCTTGTAGGGGTCTTTTATTTTGCATTGTATAATTGCATATTAGAATATTTTTGAAGAATTAAGATTATAAACTATTGTTGCATCAATTATATTTCATTATACATGTATCCTTTATTAAATGCTTTAAATTAAAAAGTGGTTATTTTTAACCTATAATTTATGGATCCAGGGACGGCCTCAGGGAAGTAGTTCACTAGGTGCAAAACACTTTAAGAGTCAATATAGCATAGCGACCAGCATCCCCCTAACTCTAAATGAATGACATCTTTGTACACCAATGATGAGTATGACAAGATACATTTAAAACACAACTAGTTTTATGTTTGATATATTAGTTCTAGTAAAAATGTATTTACTTATTTACATTTTATATAATCTGTGATAATAATATCATCAAAAAAATAACAAATAGTATTATTATATATTATAGTCCTTTATTTTTTTATCATGTTTCTTTTTTTACAAAATGTGTTCAAGGTTCGTTCCGCGTACATTTTAACAACAGCTCTTCCGTACTTCAGTACTAATATAATATAATATATGTTCATTATTTATATATAGAAAATAGATAATGTTAATTAATAGTTTTCGTAGAACAGTTTTTTTCCGTATTATAATATTTCAAAATCTTCTGTACGAGTATACATTTTTTTTTTTTGCACGCACGCGCCAATAGGTTTTCTCGTCTTTGATTACATATCAAAACAAATTATCTAGTGTAACGTCTAGACACAACAACGCGGTCATATGTAGAAAAAAAAACAATATTTTATTTATGTCGTAGAACATCATAATTGAATAGGTGTTTGAAAAAAAAAAAACATAATGTTAAGAATTTTTTTTCCTGTGTACAATCGATGGACATCGGTTTTTAATTCACCGCTGCAACGAATGTGATAATATATTAATTTAATATATTTTCATCCGCCTTTTATATAATTCTCATCGCTTCAGTCTCATTGAGGAGTTAATGCGCACCCAATTGAAAAAAAAAAATTTTAAAAATACCATCATTGTTGCAATTTACTGTGCATCTAGCAACATTATTACTATAGTAGTTCCAATTAATATATTAAAGACCTTAACATGTCGTGGGTATTCACTATCAAGATTACAGCAGCTTTCTGCATTCTTATATCATACTCGGCAAACGTTAACGACTGTATACCTACTACAATAAAATTATTATCGTCTAAACACTCTAAACTGTCTACACAATATTTTACAAATGCGTCACGCTAGAATATACATTCAAAAATAAGTAAATATATTATAATCGTGATCTACAAAAGTACAAATTTTTTTTCGAGTACCTACTATAATTATTAATATTATTATTATTAGTAATAGTAATAGTAGTAGTAGTAGTAGTAGTAGTAGTAGTAGTAGTATTATAACTATATTTTATTACTATAAACCCGAATTGTAGCTAATATCAAAATTTCGTAAAAAAAAAAGCGCAACTAAAGAATGTACTTGACGTATTTATATACATGTAAAAAATATAATATAGTAACAAAAAAGTACAAAAAAATTCTAAATACCGCTGATACTTGTATAGAACGATTTTTTTTTTATCCAGAATATTAGCATTCTAAAAAAACTACACAGGTTACATACAATGATACACAGTTGAGAGTATTAACGTGTTACTTGAGACAATATCAAACCTTTGTAATATAAACAAATTTTTTTATACAAATTTTTTTAAGTATAAAAAGAAAAATGGCAGTGACATGTGAGATTTAACTGCACAAGTGCGCTGAAATACGGCATAATCGTTTCGAAGGGCAGTGAATTTAGAAATCCTATGCGTGATAAAACGTCTAAGTTAAAATTAACTCATTTAAATATTTTATATTTACTTTTATACAGATATGATAAAATTAAACGGTACACCCCAAAGTTACCAGTACGCACAAAATCAAACGAGTTACATTTTAAACATAAACTGTGTCATTGGTGCAGAATGCAGTTCACAACAGTGGTCATTAAGAGATTCTTAAATATAGGAGTTTAATGTTTGACCTTTAGGTACTTGCTACAAATTAAGGCCACTTTTTTAACTTGCATAAAATAAACATATTCTGATGGAATACAATATTTGAAATCATTGTTATTTTATAAAAAAAATAGAATACCGAAGATTTGGAACCAAACGTGAGGCTGTTGTACGTAACACATAATTTTTAACATTGGATTCTTATATTTTCTATGGTCAAATTAATATTTTTATGACAATTCACAATCTTATATCTATAAAAAAAGAACAAGATCATTTTTCAATGGTATTTTTAAAAAAAAAAATTGTTTACAAAAAAAAATATTAAAATTACACTCAATTTTCTAAGAATTAACATTTGCACAAACGTAATCATAAAAATGTACATAACATTATAAATATATAATTGTATTAAAACTGACAAGTGGCGGTTTTTTTCTGCGTTTACAAGTGAAATTGTTTTTACTAAAGATATCAACTCAAATAAATAGAATGTAAAAAACATCATTTCATCTACAAATTATATAAACTATTTATCTCTTAAAAATATTATAATATCAGGTAGGAATTTCCAAATTGAATGGGTCGGTAAAGAGCTTTTTATTAACACATTTAACTATTCCTCTCAGTAATCTAATTTTTTCTTTGTGTTGTTAAAATAAATTACAATATTAAGGAAATATAACAGTGGGTACCTTCAACTAGTAGATTATGTCTTAGAGTGTACTTGAATGCTATTTCAAACAAAACAAATCTTGATACAGACAGACATAAAGAGAGGAAAAACAAAACAAAATTAACTTGAGTTGTTAAAATACATATTACATTGTTTAAAAAAAAATGTATCTGATCTTAAAAATGTTCACTATATATTTTGTGATAAATAACTGATATCTAGTAGGGAGTAATAATATAGAAAACAACACCAAGTACACACTAATTTATAAATATTTTAATTATTCCATCTACTTAAAAACAATCAATTACACTTATGACCCAAGAAATTATGGTATTTAATCAATTTATATAAAATTATATACCACCAGATAATTCCTTTTCCATGAAAACAAAACTATGGACAACATTTAATAAACTTGATAACTATTGCACTGGTAGGATACATCAATTTGGTTTTACTGACAATAACAAAAAACAACATAAAAAAAAGAATATAATATATGGTTATAAGAGTAAAGAAAAATGTATGAGTATCTATCATACTGAAATTGTAATTTTAAAAGCTATCATTAAAGCTATTGAACCAAACCAAAAATGTTCTGAATTAATATTAAATGAAAACAAAAAAAAATAAATAAAAAAGGAAAACGATAACCGGCCTAAAAGTTATTGATCATTAAGAAAGAAATCAGTAAAGCAATTAGAAGACAATTGGTCTAAAATATTAATAATAATAAAATAATATAAATATCTAAACGTTGATGTTTACAGTCTTCATCTCAATACACACACAAACACACATTAATAATAGCTATTTTAATTTCCTATTTATAATTTTGTTTTTGTACTTAAAATATATAGAATTTCATCTAATTAAAACTGTTTCTAATATTTTGTAATTAAATACACTTGCTATAAAATACTTTCCATTAACAGAATTGTTTATTTAGGTTTTGAAAGCATAACAATAATAAGTAATAAAAAAAAAATAATAATATTATAATTATGTACATAAAAGAGTGCCACATTTACCTAAAGCCCTGAACCTATGTTTGTACACGTTTACATCAAACGTCCTATGATTATTAACTAATAGATGTTAGTATACACAATATATTTTTTATCATATTATACAATTTATTATAAACTAATATCACAGTTTCGCGAATAGAAATGATGTTTCTTACATTTCATATAAAAAAAAAAATATATTTATATAAATTTGTTATAATAAAATTAATTGGCTTATTGATAAACATTTATAAATAAATATATATATATAAATATATATATATTTATAAACATATAATTTTAAAAAGAAAAAATCCAACACGCAGGTACAAAACATACAGTCTCAAAAACCACACGAGGATAACAGAGAAACAATATAGCACCCTCATAGTTAAAAATTCTTAGTTAAAAACAAATTCTGATTAACAGTACTGTCTTAATTTAGGAGTGAATTCAAACATACTAATACAAAATCAAAGAGTGCTAACATTTTCCTATCCTTGTGTTTAAAAACAACTCCTAATTTACCTACAGTTTCAAACTTTAAATATTTAGCTATTTTTAAGCACATTTAAGACAACACATAAACTAATATTATTACCTGACATGCTAGACAGATAGTTAATTTTAAATATGTCTATTTTTTAAGATTAGTAAACTGTAATTAAATAGTCATCCAAGAAGTAGAACAATAGCAAATTGATGTTCAAAGCTACACATATTTGCCAAGTGGTTGTCAGGAGTCTGAACGAACAAAAAATATTGACAGTCTTCAAAATAATACCAAGTGACACTAATGGTGTGACCAGGTACAAGGTAACTAGCTGAAGCAATTTACTATGGCATGACATCCCATATTTCGGCCAAGAATGGGGGTACTACTCTGTTTTTCAGTTTCAGTGTCATACATAGCTCAGAGTTTTCATTGCCTAATGTGCGCAATTCTGTAAGTACTGAGAGAAGTCGCGCATATCGTACAGTTGCTGTGTCACGGTCTCGATTATCTACATAAGCTTTTAAGGACTCTAGGTAGATTTCTTGGATTTTCTCCACTTTCCAACCATCTAGTAAATTTGGCCTACCTAAAAATTTGTTAAAAAAAAAAATTAATAAAAATCTATAATTACACTGAAAATATTATGCTATAGGTTAATTATAATTTATAAATTATTAAAATATAATTACTCGAAAATATGACGATGGCGGTCAATAAGGCATATTCTGCGTTATCCACCTTCATATTGTACATAAACCGACTGAATGACAGTTGGTTTTCAATGGCATCTCCCAATCCAGCTTTGTTATATGAATCAGCTGAAAATGGCTGGTTGTTAGCAAACACTATTGAGTCAGTGGTGATGTCATACTTCCTTGCTACCCTGAACATCATAGCTTCACTTGAGCAAGCCTATTTTTACAAAATAAATTAATAACACGAAGACAATCATACAGAAAAAATGTATTCATCATGTAAAATAATTACCTTGAGTAAAGTGATTTGATCTTCTCTTACAAGTTTATCGAAACCTGGTAATCGTTTGGCAAACTCAACAATCAGTTGAACTGTGAGTATTGTCATCTCAGTGATGATTCGATATGTGGTGTCACTTTGTTTTTCTTCATCATATTCATCCATATTTTGCTATGAAAATTAATTAAATAATTAGTAACAATTATTGATGTGGATTGTGGATATATTTTTTAATCAAGTAATTACATTATTTATTGTTAAACGTTTCATGTCTTTTTCACTAGGAGCTTCATATTGATCCTGGAAATAGACAAGTCGGTGGATCAGTTCTTTTTGTTCAGAACTCAAAGGTTTCACGTAAGGTACAGTCGGCATAGGTGTGCCCATTATCATTGGTTCACCACATTCAATCTAAGAGAAAAACAAAAATTATAGATACAATTATGAAATAATTTTATAGAAGTGATTATGATAATAATTACCTTCATCTCTGTAGGTTCTATTTTTATTATTTCAGGAGAAATGTCTGTAGTAGAATTTGGTTTATCTTTTTCTCGTTGAGCTTTTTTCTCCTTTCTTTTTACTGCGCATTGAACTTCAGGTACAACACCTAAAAACAATATCATATTTAAAAACTATGCATAAATATCTGAAGTAAGATGGTAATTATTTGATTTCATTTTAAGGTATAACTAAACAAATATTCGTGGGTCAAAAAACAACATGTTGTGGCACACTACAATTCAAAACAATTAAAATTGTATGTTTATTACTTATTAGTTATTAGTATACATTTTAATAGAATATTAATGACCTATTACATTTATTCAATGCGCAATTTATAGATGTAATATGTTAATATTACCTTGAAACAATGAATGAAAATATTGTAACAACTTTAAAAGATTTATTTGATAAATATTTATATAAATACCGAATTGCCCATTAAAATAATGGACTTCACTCGAAGGCATAATGTCTAATTAATGATTATTATAACGTGCAAACGCTTCAAAACGTTAAAACACACTCCTGCATTATCTAGTATAATCATTAAAAAAAAAACTATAAAAACAACATTTACAATTAAATGAGTAAAAAAAAATACTTGTATTATAGCAGGACCTAATAAAAGTCGAACAAGATTTGTATTACATAACATTTAATTTTAAGATACTATTAATAGCAGTGCAACACATTCAAATAATACCTAAACATAAACATTATAATGTATACGATCTAACTTCTAAGGTGTGCTGAGTGTGTCGACTATGATAATTAGTGTAAACTCGTCAACATTTAGAGAAAAAGCTCATAAAAATTAATAAAAAATATTATTTGTTAAACGTTAGAAATATGTTCTAAAATGACCAATTAATCGAAAAATGTATGATTATTATTACACGGAGTACGTGAAAAATCGTAAAAGACGATTTGGTTTTAACCATTCACCCCAGTGAACGTTTCGAAATAAAAATAACATTTTCGTATAACACTAGGGAGTCACGAAATCAATAAAGTTGAAGTCGCTCCGATAACACGCATTAAATGGCGACAGATGAGTGTCTGTGCGTGTGCGGCCATGTCGAAAACGGCAGATAGGTCGCATGCATACCACACCGGACTAGTGAAGAGCATTTATTTAGTACCGTCGTCGGACACGGTAAAATGCACAAATTAATCAAGCACGCGCCAGGTAGTAGTAGTATGGCAACACGAAACGCGTTTTGTGAACCTCTACGTGTTTTGCCTTTGAAATTCATTTATTATTCAAGATACAATAATTCAAGACCCACCGTAATTTAGTATGCGGTGTGAAATCGCGAGTAAAAATGCTGAGCGAGTCGATCGATATCAGTGTAATAATATAGTATAATAACGGCGTAAAAAGGTCAACGTACCTACCATCAAAAAAAAAAAAGCTCGCTATAGTGCCATAACTACCACAGCCGGTCAAGGTTGCTTACACGACTACCTATTATAACGAGGGCGCGGGGATTTGGTCAAGTTCGATTTTCTGTCATCGTTTACCGAGTGAATATTCAAATCCTCGGTATTGCGGATACGTGCCGTCCGAACACGCATGCCACGAGGACTTGGCGTCATAATATTTTATGCAGCAATCGTAGCTAGTAATATTTTTCGATTGTAAATTATACGAGTATTGGTGTTCTAATAGTGGTAACTGGTGATCTCTATGTTTATTGCGGTTAGAACCGAACTCGCCAAATCACCACACAGTCTTGGCCATTCCCCCTCTCCCCCACACAAACACACACGCATACACACTTACACAACAATCAATAGTCGACGGACAAAAATCGAACAAATCGACGATATGTGGAAATCTTATTATGCCTATAAGTACCACAGGAAAAAAAGAAAACTTCTGATCGTCCACGTTGCTGCAGACATTGCTGCTTTGTGTAAGATAACAATACACCAACCTATAAGGCTGCTGACCTCCATTCAAGTCTCATGGAATTCGACGAAAACTATTATTTTGTTAAACAAATATTACCGAAATTGTATGATCAAGATTTTGGGTGACTATGTCTGTACACAATTTGTCCAACGAATTTTATTAAAAAATGTTGATTGAAGTTTCAAATTTAAAAATAATAAAAAGTTTTTAATATACAACCTGTTCCATTCTCAAAAGTGCCCAAAACATTTTTAGTTTTTTCAATGTCACCTAAGAAATATGTTCTAAAAATAAAAGTCACTAATTGTACATAATATTGATAAATACAATATGGTCTTGTGGTAATTTCCTCATTTCTTGGCCCCACTCAAAATATAAAAATGTTTGTTCTATACACACAATTAAAACTTATAAAATGATCCATTAATTATCTCTTTAAACTAATCGCGGCTATACAATACTATGTAATATGTATACTGTATAGTATATATACGTGTTTTCATGAAAGTATGTAATATTTTTTATAGTTAAATGTCCGTGACTCCGTGTTATTATGAGTTATGTTATGTTATGGTTATTCGACTGTGAAGTTGTACTATACCTAATACCTATATGAATAGGTACCATATTTAACGAGACAATGTACTTGATTGTATGGCCATTAATTATGTAGAAATTAATAATAATAATATATTTTATTAAATAAACGTTTGTAAAATTATTTAATTCAGAACTTATTTTCAGTATTTATTCTGGGCTACGTAGTTTGTCACGCCCTTAACTCAACATTCCTAACACATTTTCCAAACATAACATAATATTATAATTAGAAAAAACAATTCAAGTAACGCAATGGCCACCGAAGAAGGAATTGTATTTTTGTAATAATAATGTATTATTATAAAATTTTGGTTCAAATATTCGTGGTATATAATTTATTTTAGTAAAATATAATATGATTATCAATAGATTGTCAATATGCATTCAAATTGCGGGTTATAATTATTTTTGTACTAAATAACGGTGAACTCTACTAAAAAAGTATCGATGTCGAAATTTCGTGAGAAATCAAAAATATAATTTAATTTTAGATCTTTTGAATAAATCTCTAAATATTATTTATAAATAATCAACGTAAAGTTATCGTTTAAAATTCCATATATTTTTAATAACGTCATACTAATTCACAATAGTAGATTTCAGGAGAAAAAATATATTTCAAGTGGCACTTTTGCAGAGTATGATTCTAGATTCAATGCAAACACCAAGAACAAATCTAAAAAAAACTCAAAAATGGGTGATGGGATCATGCAACTAGCAAATACCGATTTTGTACTTATTGGTCAGATTTATTGTATTAGTTATGATCTTGTGTGATACATATAAATTAAGATTTTGATAATATAAATACAAATTTAAAACCAGTGCCTAAACATGCCATAACATAAAATTAACGTGAAATTGAGGACCAAAATTGCGTATTTCCTGTGAAATCCAGGAAACCAAACTATTACTACATTTTAATCTACATACATTTAATACCAGCGAGTGTACCTATATTATAGACTTGTTTTATGTTAGGTATACTCAAGCAGTCTGGAAAAATTCGACATATTTTGTTTTTCTGTATAAGTTTATCAGTTTCCTATTTTATTATAAATACACGAATAGTGTAACGCTTACATTCAGGCCTCATGCCGACGGTCAGGCATTTTTTCAGCCGGCACTCCTGGCACTTCCGCCTCATGTACATGTCGATTTCGCAATTGTTGCCGTACTTGCACTGGTACACGGCGTTCTTGGTGATGCTCCTCCGGAAGAACCCCTTGCATCCTTCGCATGTGAGAGCGTTGTAATGGTAACCGGACGACCGGTCGCCACACACCAGGCACAGCTCTTCGGGAGGTCGGTTGTTCAGCACATTGCCACCAACGCCACCCCCGGGGCCCGATGCCGAGGTGTTGACGACACCGGTCGAGGGCGTGTGGTTGAGTTTCTTCTTCTTCAACCCATCCGAATGGCTGCTGACTCCCGACAGGCTGTTTGGCGGAGACAACTCTTCTTTGACTGCACATGGAAGAAGAAGAAACAACAACGGTTAAACAAAAACGAAAACATTATTGCATATACCAATATAATACGATATAACGCATAAACATGGTATATTATTACAGTATAATTTGTAGGTACCTATATAATATTATATGTTTTACTTTCGTCTCGGGCGAGTGGTGGAAAGGGGCCGGGGTGTGGGAGAAGAGGAAGTAAACAGAACCCGAAAACCAGTTTGGGAACGACCGACACCGTCGTGGAGTGGACGAACCCAGTGACCTTGTGATCGAGAACGAAATATACCTATATATTATTATTATTATTATACACAAATCTTTTCCCTCCAAAAATCTTTTCGAATACCTATATTATGTTATTATAATATATATATATATATTTGTTGTATACAATATAATAACATAATAATACCATGTGCGGCATTGCGTCACGCGGGGTTAATGCCCCTCGAATCGGATAGTATCGTGTCGTTGTAAATGTTTTGTCGCTGAGCAGTGCGTTTTCGAACGGTGTCCATCATAATAATATTATTTATTAGAATGACGACTGCGACCTGCACAGCCGAGACGTGGGCCCAAGTAACCCGCAGCAGAGGAACCACCGCTGACGAGGAAGGCCTGGTTGACTCGTTTACACGGGGCCCGTATAATAATGCGGGCGATGTTGTAATCAGCGGTAAACTACGTTTAAAAAACCGCCAAAAAACATCTTTTTCGTTTTACCATCATATATGATTTTGTTTTGTTATATTCCTGGTTAAAAATAAAACATTTCTAGTGAAATCAACGAGAAATTGTTTAAAATCTACGATTAACACCATTTGGCTACTATAATGTACATTTTTTGTATCTTTATACCTTATTGCTATTTTTCTCATTCAACCGAAATCTGAAAACGGACATGATCAAGCCTATACAAGGCGACGTCAAAACTGACCGGATGAGTAAATAGTAATAATAATATATAATATACGAGTTTTTTTTTTTATTATTATTATTATTCCAAAGAAAAATCGCTCGACGACGACGACGATGTTCAAGGCCGTCCGCGTTTCGCAACAGTCGCCGACACGACGGACGCACTCTCGCAATAGTAATAAGTATAATAATATATAATATTATATATAGAAATAGAAACGAATAGATATCGCGAGCGTACACACAGCATTTCTGCCTTATTGTTGTATGGTTAGTAGGAAAAAAAAATATAAATCCTGAGAGATTAATTGCTTTCGTGTGTGCGTTGTTTTTAAACGTCTGGCGAGATGCGCATTTTTTTCTTCCCCCCACGACCTAGCCCAACAGAAATTCTCGAGAGACCTCGCACACGACACGCACACACACATTTACATAAAAATAAATAAAAACGAGCGCATTCCGATGATAAATCGATCGGATAAGTCGCATGTACGAGCGTGTGGATTGTATACAAAACAACCAACCCGAGAAACGACCACCGCCACCGATGATGTCGGAGGAGCTAAGGAGCGAACATGAATTTGAAATAAAATTCGCGTATAGCTACTCACATATTTCGTTCACGGTTTTCGCGCACACCGGACGTACTCCGTAGAGGTACTGGGACAGATGTTAATTATTCGACGTTAAAACCAAATGAATATTCATCAAACGCGCAGCTCTCCACACACCGGTGCACCGGTGGCAAATGGAATATATTTCGCACTAATTACCGGAACCACCGCGGTACGTAAGCATGACCGCGGCGGAGGCGTCGCCACAGAGTACGCAAACGTCGACGACGCTCGATTTTTGGGTTTCCGATGCGCGAAAACGATATTTAAATTTCTGCGACTCGGCTCGACTACAACTGCAGCAGGGAGAAGACAATCTTTTTAGACCGGTTTATCGAGTGTAAATCTCTCTATCTCTGTACGCACATATTATAATATTTAAAGCATATATATATTATATACACTCACACACGATAATAATGATAAAATAATACAGCATCGTCGGCGGCCTATTGTATGAAAAAAATCGATCTCGAACGCCACAGGAACGAAACGCTATTATTTCGTATCATATTGTGTGTATAATAATATATTGAGTCCCAAGTACGCGCGCGATGCACAGCAGTTGCAGAGGTAATAATAATAATAGTAATAATATGTGCTCGGTGATGGAGTGCGGCACTGCGGCGGCGAAGAAGAATTCGAGGAACTGAAACCGGTTAACGACAACGACGACGACGATTGTGTATTGTGTGCGCGCAAAGAATGAAAAGCTGAAAGTAGTAATGCGCTCGTTAAAATAAAAAAATAAAACATTTTTACGATAGTGTTTACGGTGTTGAGGGAAGCGAGAAAAAGTGGAAAACTAACGTCACCGCCGTCGTTATAACCGATACGAAACAACGTCGACAAAAACGAAGGGAAAAAATCGAAAGCTTTTGACGGAAATTCGACTCGCAGTTACGTGCTAGTGTTTTACATTTTACGTATACATGACATTGACGACGGAAACGGTTGTGCGCACATTACATTATTCGTTCGCCGGGTAATCTGTGCGGTCGGCAAGCGGAACAGATGACGACGTATGAAGTGAGTAAAAAACAGACTCGAAGCCCGTGAAGGCCGTAGAATCAGAAAACCGCGAAGATCTGCGGTCTAGATAACAACCAGAACGAAAGACAAAAATGGAAAACAAGATTGGTTTTTTCTTTTATCATTGTTGTTATTACATAGTTTTCCGTCATAATAAGTTTTTTTTCTCTCAATATAATATTCTCGGCAGTCGGCAGTACTCGGCACACGTATAACAAGTAATAACACATTTTCAGTACTTGTACATTTACCAGCAGAAGTTTTAACTACAATAATATACGGGTGGAACTGGGAGAGTCTAAAAATCTAAAAATACAAATTATTTAGTTCACACAATCACTATTTTAAAATGGGTATAATTAAAATATATACCTGGTATTTAATTTTCTTATACAATATTATACTTTGATTGAATAAACTATAGGTAATAAATATTATTATTTATTAATCACAATATTATCACATAATATCATTATATAAATAAATTTTTAATTTTGTGAATTAAATCATTTCTATTTTTGGATTTTTTTTTGAAAACGTGCTCGGGCTTACCGGGTAGTAGTAAACGAGTTTTTTTCAGACAGAGCTTCGTCTGGAATTCAACAGGGAGATAGTGTGGAAAATGAGGTGACAATTTTCAAAATAATAGGTTTTAATGGTCACGCGGCTACAAAGGTGCTGGATGTAGTGGCGGCGGAGGATTTTAATAGTGAAAATCAAAGTAATCGCTAAACTGCGGTTTTGTGGAGGGCACACGGCCAAAGGTAGTAAGAGTTATACACGCAAAAGTACACACACTGTGATACACACTAAGACTCTGCACTTTGTGGGAGATATCCATACGTAGACCAATGAAAAAAAATAATAATAATATGTTAATCGTTATAATTATTGCCGTCTATAAGTATATTTTCTCAGTTGGACGGCGGTGATAATAATATCCGTTTTAAACGTGTACACGCGTATTAATACTAAAGGCACGTGCATTCGGCAGAACTGAAAGACGACTAAGGTTCATTCCTACTGCCACGGTCAAGTGAACACTGATTATTATTATTATTATTGTTGTTGTTGTTGCTGCTGGTGATGTCATGTTGCTCGCCATGGTGAGAATCTTCAGAAACGTAAAAAAAAAAACTTCCGAATGTGTATAAAGTATAATATATTATTCGCAATAACATATAGAAATAATGAACAGAAAAATAATTAACGTGCAGGTAAAATCGGCGGTGCGAGTAAGAACAATGCTTACGTAAACGTATCCGTATGAACGGCGTATCTACAGGGCACTCTCAGCAATTATAAGCTTTAGCCTTTTTTATAAACTCGACAATATACGCAATATATATTATAAAAAATAAATTATACAATTATTTCGGTTTAGGATTTCAACAGGCGCCAAACAATGTAAGTACCTATATAATACATATTAATATTAATATAAAAAGTATGATAATATAAACTATTAACTAATTCATTAAATTCACTTTTCGGATCAGTAGGTTTTTAAAAAACAATTTTAAGTCTTACGTCGTTGACTAATGTTGATATAACGATTGGCTGTATTCGCACGACCCGTATTCACCGTCGATTTTTTTCAGTTTGATAAAGTAATATATTATTACTATCACCCGAATACGCATGACTGACAATCATTTATCGATTCTAACGTGTGGTGTTAACAATATGAATTTGTAAGTACTTTAAATGGCATTTATTCATTTTTTTTTTTTGCGAGTACAAGGTTGAACAAAATTAATATTCGAATTTTAACTCTCGTATTAAGTCGTATTAAACAGTATATCAACGTAAAATGTGTATGCAGACTCGGGGCTATTGAACGCTATAATAATATTAACTCATACACATTAATTTAACACTAAAATATATAGGCAGTACATTATAAGGTACATAGTTAATTATACATTTTATTACATAATAAGATAATTTTATACTCTTCTAAAAGTAATAAACAGGGCTTGTAATTGACTTGTAATTCGATAAATATTAAAAGAAGTTTATACTTAGATACCTAATTAAAAATATTTATTGGAGCGCTTTAATATGCAACAAAAATGTTGAAAAAATAGACAAGTATGGTGTACCTATTTACTGTGAAAAACTCAAAATAAGTTGAAATTCCTAGACAAAACTAATTATATAATTCAATTTAAAACAAAAAAAAAAATTGTAACTAATGGCCATTATTGACGATGCTAATTAAGACCGACCATAAAAAATCTTTAAATTTATAAATATTTAATTTTCTGTTTATATGCCTATAAGTCTGTATCATTTTCTGTAAATTTGTAATCGCTTAAACTTTTATGGAATGTTCATAAAAGAGTCTAATATCGCTAAAATCACTAAGACAGTTTAATACCATAAAAACTCCTATAGACACAGATACACAACAAAAATGTCCCGTTTTACT